CACCAGTTTGTTGCTGTTTTAATATTATAATTTTTGCACAAATTCCAATGGATCATTTGTGCTACTGAATTGTGCCGCAATTTATATTCAGTCTGTGTTATTTTTTTACAGCAGCTGAGTATGTGATCAACAGTTTCACCAACTTCTTTGCAAAGTCTGCATTTGGCATCATCAGGATTTTTCGATTTCGGCCTTAATGGCATCTGTGCGGATAGCTTGTTCTTGCGCAGCCAGGATTAGTGACTCTGTTTCTTTCTTTAATGTACCTGTTGTTAACCATAACTTATTATTATTGTTGTTGTTGTTGTTATTGTTTCTGACTTCAAAGCCCTTGTTAAAATCCTCTTCTCTCTTTCGTGCAATTAGACACGGATATGACCTGGTGTTGGATGTTTGTGGTTTTTTTTTTCCAAAAACCAAGCTTCTAGCCCTCAAGGCTGAAGATCTTACGTTTGAAATTGCTGACCCGGCAGGAGAAAACGAACAGCTACAGAAGCTTAAGAAGCTGCCCTTTTGCACGGTTTCCGCTTTGTGGTGTGTTTGTGTTGCCTGGAGCGTTGTGAAGGAGGCCTAAAAATATCGGAGTAACACCAAACAAAGAATACAATTATATAACAGGAACCGGAAGGTGGTTGAATAATAGGAAGTTGTGATTCATGTTAAGATTTCTCTTTAGGCAAAACTACCCCTTCCCCCCCCCTCTTTTCTCTCATTATCTCTTCTGAAATACTGAAGACGGGTTTCGTTTGTGTTTTCTGTCTGCGCAAGGAGGTTTGTGCCATCTTATTGCAAGCCCTGAGTTCGAAAACCGGAGGAGAACACATCTCCAAACTTAACACCGTTCCAAAGTTCGATTGGCATTGGGGACAAAAAAGTGACTTCCCACTGGTCCTCATGCTTACAACCGTTGCAATATCCCGTGAGGGAGGGATTGTGTCACAAAATCACTAAATAAGTCCATCTGCACCGCAGCCCTGTCTCTTATAGGAGATTCTCCTTGCTTATTCCACACTAACAACAACCCTGCCAGGTGGGCTAGGCAGAACCATGCCTGAAGTTGTTTCAGCCACCTTGGTGGCCGGTGAGAAAGCCTCTGTGGCTTCATGCGGCAAAGACGCAGCCCATCCGCCTCTCGCGATGCAGCACATCCCTCAGAGATCTTTAGCTGCGGATCTCGGCATCCCAAGGATCCTGCCAAAATTTAGATGAAAGCAGATCGATTTAGAGGCCGGCTGGTTTTAAGTAACTACTGGGCAGGATCTGCGGGCACCTCAGTCCATTAAGCGCCTGTCATCACGGCCCTTAGTCATCAAAAGCAGATTATGGAAGACTCGATGACTCGCCAGGCCCAGAGAGGCACTTAAGGAAAAGTATTTATAGATAGATAGATAGATAGATGATAGATNAATGAAGAAGGAAAGGAAAGGAAATAAATGAATGAAGAAGGAAAGGAAGTAAATGAATGAAGAAGGGAAGCAAATGAAATGAATGAAGAAGGGAAGGAAAGGAAAGGACGGAAAGGGGAAGGGAAGGACGGATGAAAGGAAGGGAAGGAAAGGACAGGTAAAAGGGGAAGGGAAGGAAATAAATGAAGAAGGAAAGGAAAGGAAGTAAATGAATGAAGAAGGGAAGGGAAGGAAAGGGCAGATGAAAGGGAACGAGAAGGGAAGGAAGAGGAGAAAGGGAAAAAGGAAAGGAAGGGAGGGAGGAAGGAAGGATGTTTTGAAATTTGCAGCATGATCCAAATTGGGACGCTTGGCAACCGATTCATGCTTATGACGGTTGCAGTGACCCAGGGTTACATGATTCCCCTTTTCCGACCTTCCGACAGGCCAAGTGTACGGGGGAAGCCAGAGTCACTAGCTTATCGTCAACTGCACTGATTCGCTGGAAGACCGTGGCCAGAAAGGTGGTTCAAACGGGGCCAAGCTCCTCTTCACCCCTGTCTCGCTTTAGCCACAGAGATGTTGGCCTCCATGGTGGTCGTACGACGAGGACTTATCTATCGTTTTGATTTTTTCCCTCCCCTCTCCCCAGAGCTCAACACAAGAGATCGGAGAAGAGTTTGAAGATAGCGTGATTTACAGTATTTCTCTCCGGAAAGTTCAGCTCCATCACGCGGCCAACAAAGGCCAGCGATGGCTGGGGGTAAGTCCCTTATTGATCCTCGGGGGTTTGAGAACTCCAGCCTACCTTGCAGGGCTGTGGTAAGGAGCACGAGTGGGTGGGTGGGTGGAGCTTTCCCCCCCTGGGACACAAAATACAATTATATCCTGGTCTTTGATTAGTCCATGTAGCGTCTTTGGGGGCATCTTAAACCACTTTATAAGGCCTTGGTAATAATGCCACACTTGGAATCCTGCATTCAGTTTTGGTCGCCACGATGAAGAAAAGACATTGAGACTCTAGAAAGAGTGCAGAGAAGAGCAACCAAGAGGATTAGGGGACTGGAGGCTAAAACATATGAAG